ACGTACTTGTGATCTTTAATTGTAAAGGTGAGACTTGCTGTTTTTTTTCCTGTCGGCTTGATATACTTGTTATCGTCTTTTACAGTTATCAGCTCGCCAATAGAAATGACAACCCCCAAAATGTCTTTAATTTTTTTAAATAAAAACAATGTATTAGTATACAAAAGTTAAATATAAAAGACATAAATAATAAAAACGTAATGAAAGATAAAATATACCAATGGGTTGATCAGGTTCCGTTTTCTGGCCAAGTATGTCAGCAAAAGTGTATGACCCTACCGAATCATCTTCTGAAATTGGATTTGTATCGACGATAACAGTGTTCATACATATCTTGATACTAATGCCAATTAGAGTGTTTGGTTCTTCTAGTGGATCATCGAATACGATAAATTCTGAGATACTTTTATGGTCTCCTTCTTCAATTGCCTTCTCATAATGTTTACATAGATCTTCATTATATACATAGGCTTGAATTCGTTCACCCTTTGTATAGAAAATGGTTAAAGCGGTAGAAAATATTATCTATAAAACTGAACTTAATGTAAAGTATGTTATAGTTTTAAAGTATGAAATACCAACCTCTTCATCCATCAACAGAAATTGCAAAGAATCTACTCCCGTTCCAGACTTCTCAACCCATTTTTTTAAAAACCTTAACTCTAATACGCCAATTGGTTTTATCATCATGTAGATCAGAAATGAGATTGTACGAATCCATTACCTGTAATCAGACTATGAGAATTATATACTTCGAAATAACTTATCTAAAAATCAAGATCAAGATATAAATATACCAATGTTAGACGTTAAGACATAATATTAAATTCGCTCGATAATCACTACGAAAACAACACCAACCTCAGAATCACGATTTAATGTTTTAGAATTCCCGTATATTTTATATCTTTACAATCGTGATAACCGATTTCAGTATATACATTTGAATAACAAAAACAACAAAAAAACTTAAAGTAGAGATATTCTGGATATCGTAATCGGGAGGATATCCTAAAAATATCGTCACAATCATATAAAATCTAAATAAAAATAGAAATAAAAGGTCAATTTCTACAATACAGGCAAACAAATCAACTATTTTACAATCCGAGGAGAAAATATCGCATACCTTGAGCAAAAGATGCCAGTAATTGCGAGATAGACAGATCTGTTTGTTGCCTTTTTTTAGTCTGAAATCGTCGTGTTTTACAAACTTAGGAAATAATGATAATAATATAACAAACTAAGATATCATAATAAATATGGAAATATTATAATCATTAAACTATATACATTGTCCCATAACTTTGGGCTTTACCCATGTGCTAAAAGGTTTAGATTAAGTTGGCTTTGGTAAAAGAATAATCGTTCAAGGTGTAGGTAAGACAGAAATAGAACACTATGATATCACGTCCATAAAACATCTTTAATCGATTCCATAGAATAGATAGTTGAACTAAAGGAAGCATTACAAATTAAGAAGAAAATTCTAGAAACATACATAACTAATAAAACCATAATGCCGAGATAAAAGTTTGATGAATGAATATCCTAAAAGATAACTAAAAAATAATTATCATTATAACATATAATAGATGCTCAATAGTTGGCATATGGAAAAATCAAGTGTTTGGTGCAGTTCCAAACATGCACAAGATTCACAAAGGCCTTTTCATCGAGAAGAAACCTATACAAATCATGCAAAACATAGGAAGAGGTCCACTCACTCGCTGCATGAAACTCATCAATATACTGGTCATCATCTTCGGAAACAATTCCTATAGCATAGCAAGCACCTTTAAATGTTGAATATCGAACATTGTTCACAGTCCTTAGATCCTCAAAACAACATGCTCCTCTCCTCACCT